CTCACAGGACACAAATGGCATCTTGGATGATGGTCCTGGTGGCTGTACCTTCTGCCTTCCCAAATGGAAGTGGGCTCAGCCCCCCAGAAGCAGAGGATACAGCCACTGATGGCACTTTTCACAGAGCAGGGCAAGGGCTCTACCTGCCTTCCACTGAGCAGCTGAATTACAACGTGCTTTGTGATGTGTGGGCTGCTGGGGAGCTCAGAGTGAATCCTTAGCTCTGCTCTGTGTCCTTCAGCAAGTCACAGGAGGGGATTATTGTGTCTTATTTTGAGTAGCTGAATTACTGTGTGCTGTTGACTCCACAAGGATGCTGATGGTGGACAACAGCACTGGCTTTCTGGCCTCAGGGACCTGAACTTCTGCACAGATACTCAAAGGTTCTCAGTTTAAATCAAAACAGTACAGCATTTGGGATTTTGTAGTGGGTACAATGACTATTGTGGGAATGGAAAACAAGGTACTCGAAAAAGAGCTATCATCAGGTATCAAATTCTCATTTGAAATGCATGAATCTTCAGGCAAATAACTTTTTTATTAAAGGAACACTGTCAAGCATCATTCTGGTGCTATATTTAGCTTTTAAATTAAGTGTGCTCCGAGATCTTCATTTGCTGAGTGATCTGAGCCCTTTGTCTGCAGCACAGTGGCAGTAAGAGCTCTACCAAGACCTCCACCATGTGTGGACTGATGTCTGTGAGATGCTGGGGAGGGGCTCTGGAGCTGCAGTGCCCTTGGAGTGAAATGTTCAGCTGCTTTGAAGCGAATTCATGGTCTGCAGCCTCTCTGTCCTTCACATTCCCAAGTGGAGAAGTTATGAAGCAGTTTTTAGTGCTGGTATGTGTAAATACTGAAATGTTTGGGCTTAGAAACTTACCTATGGTTCTTTGTGGGGCTTAGAGCACTCTGTCTTCCTTCCTGCTTCAGGAAAGGGGGGCTGTCAGGAAAATGGACCTACTCAGTCTACTGGGGGAGAAAAACATCCTAGAGGTGAGATGATTACAAAGTGTGTGGAGGACATGCATCTTGTTTATCTGTTGCAGTTGTAGCTGTCAGGCAGGGGAATGAGGAGCTTTTTCAGGCAGTTCTACAGTGATTGCTGTGCACTCAGAGCAGGTCTGTGCTGTGCAGACCTGAGTGGATGTAGAGGGGTGACACTGAGGTGAAAGCCTCTTGGCACAAGGGGACACGTAGCCAGATGTGGATGGATCACTGCACAGCTGTGCTGCTCCATGCCCTGCTCAGCCTTGTCAGCAGGACAGCTTTTCCAGAGTGGGGTTAAAAAAAAAGAGACACCTGTTTCTGAAACTGGAGGGGATAAAGTTGTGAATTGTCTGTGTGCTGTAGGTCTGGGGTATAACCCAGGCTCACAGCTGCTCTCCACTAGCCAGGAGGTGTTGTGTCACCTTGTTCAGGCTGCAGCAAAGCAGGGCATGAGGTTTTCCAGCCAAAGGAACGAACAGGACCAACTCCCAGCCCGCAGAGGGGACACCAGCCCAGCATCCCCCCGGCAGCCACACGATGGCAGAAGAACCAAAGATCACAGCAAAGCACTTTGAAAATCGCTGCAAGTGGGGAAGGCACCTGCCTCTGGCACCTGCCTCTGGCTCTGCTGCTCTTACCTCTGACGAGGGCTGACCCAGACTCCACCAGGCACCAGCACTCCTGCAGAGCAGCTGGAGCAGGCAGGGAGTCTCCAGACTCAGACTAAAATGGGCTACAGAGCCCATGGGCAGGTGTGGAAGGGATGCCACAGGTGAGGTTGTGCAGAGCCATAAAGGCCTGTTAGGGGCCTCTGGGCTCTGACAGTCACTGATTAAATTGGTCTGCAAGACCACATGCTGCAGAAAGGGCTCTGACTCACAGGCAGATCATTTTTAAACACGTAATTTTTTTTGCCGTTTACCATTTAAAAAAGGACATTAATACCCTCAATTGGTGCAAATTAAGATTTTTCTACTGACTAATAGTGGTGATTAGCTGCTCTCTACCTGCTGAAATGATCCAATAAAGGCTAAGGTTACAAAATATCAGAACTGCATTTTGGTATTCTTTTTAGATCATGCAGTTTTGAATGATGTCAGTATTACAGACATCTGAGACTGTGCTTCCTGCCCCCCCAAAAAATAAAATAAAATATTAAATAAAACTTTCTTCAAGTTTGAAAAATCAAAACCGAAGAGGACTCTTGTGTAATTAATTCCAGTTCCTAGGCAGTCTGTGGCAATCCCATGGGTGCTGCTCCTCTTGTAGCACCACGGACACCATCGACAGCTGAGGAAGGGCTTTATCTGACCTGCAGGCTCGAGAGGAGCAGCTGAAAAAAAATCTGGAAAGGGGGGGGGTAAATTAAAATGTTACAGGTAGCTCCTGCCTGCTCCTGGAGCATCCAAATCAGTGTGATGCTCAACAGGGCTTGTTCAGTGTGGTACCTGCTCCCAAAGCCATCACTCAGGGTGGTACCTGCTCCCAAAGCCATCACTCAGTGTGGTACCTGCTCCCAAACACCCAGCCCGGTGCAGGAGCTGCTCCCCACACTCCCAGCTCCCCTGGTCCCCTCTGCAGGCGTCGCTGCCTCCCTGCAGGTCGGAGCTGCTCCCTGGGTGTCCCTGGAACCAGGCTCTGGGCAGAGCCCTGCACCGCTGAGCTGTTCCCGCGGGAGCCACAAAGCCCATCCAGCTCGCAGCTGGGAGGAAGAAAGGCAGGATTAGCCCTGGGCACTGGACACCTTCGAGCCTCTTGCCGAGCCAAGTGGGAAGGGTAACTTGAGGCGTTTTGTGCTCTGAAAAGCCTGGGGGCTTTGGCAAGTGCAGCCGCTCGCTCAGCTGTGCAGCCTCCTGTAAACTGAAATGCCCTCTTAATGCTGCTGAAAGGAGAAAATAATGATTGCACTGGAGAATAAATGAAAACCGAGGCTAAACATGAGATCATTGTGCTGACATTAGCAGTTATCACCCTCAACACTGCTGCGGGCACTCGGCCTCAGGAAAAGGTGATCCCTCAAAGCAGAAACCTTTAGCTGACTTTGTCAGGTGTAATTAATTGCCTTGGATGAACCCCATCACAGACAGCAAACAACAACAACAACAACAAAAAGGAGGAGAAATTTGGGTTCCTTTGGTGAGGGAGAGGCAACTCATATGTAAAACTTGTCAAGGGAGATCACGTGCAGTTTTGTACAAGTACATCCAGCTGATTTTGTAGCACTTCCTCAACTGTCACAGAAGTTTGGGTGCTGAGGGCTCTGATGGGCAGCATTAGGATCATCCAGTCTGACCTCCTGCATACACAGTTCACAGAATTCTTCCCAGAAGTTGTACAAAATATATCCTGGAGATGAATTCCAAATAACAATGCTCTATAAACTCACCCAAGCAAGACCTTTCAATGTACAATCCTGTAATTATTAAGACATTGCACCTTCACTGGGGATAGCAAATTTCTGCTTCTAGCTGGTCTATGTGTATTTATAAACTCCTTTCCAGATCTTCTGTTTTATAAGTAACTCAATAGTCATACTACCTCTCTACTGGTTTTTTTAGTAACCTAAAAAAAAAGGCAGCTTCTCAAATTTAACCTACCTGGACCAGAAAATGGAACTGAAGCTGCAAAGTCTCTACATTTGAAAATATTGAAGATGGCAACACTGGGCCAAATTCACCACTGAGACAAGCATCATGATTCTTGTGAAGAAGATGTGCTTCCATCAAACCCAAGGCTGGCCCTTATCCACTCTTCAGGATTTAAACTGCTGTGCAGACCAATAGGGCAGTGCTCAGTAATGTGTCCTTTTCAAACATGCACTTCTCATTAAGTAACTTTTTTTTAGACAAAGAACTTTTCACGGGAGGATGAGAGGATCTGCCTGATGAAATATTGACTCTCCCAACTCATTTTAGATTCTCAAGCATCATTCACCAGCTCTGAATTGACTAATGGCCATCACAGCAAATGGATTTCCACCTTAATCTTTAGTTCTTGTCTGAATGATATTAATACACATTGTTTATCACTAATGAGCTCTAGAATATGATGTTAACAGAAGCAATTAAGGCCCAGAATAACTATCTGCAACACTGTGCTGGGGCTGAATGCATGGGTAATGAATCACTTCCCTAGCTCAGCTCCAGTTTCCTCACTGCAAATCGTATGTCAGATCATAGTGAGCTCATCTTGGTGTCCATGCTGTGTTCCAATACACTGAATAATGCACTCATCTGGTCTTTACAGAGTCTTGAAGGAGAACTGAGTAAACCAGAAGCATCAGACAACAGGATCATTTCCCTCATACTGTAAGAAATTGCTGAGACAAGTCAGAACCAGTGTGAATTTACTTTTGTCAAGTATTTTGGCAGGAGGCTCAAAATCTGCCTGAAGATGCTCTGCCAGTTTAACCTGAGAAACCCTGAACAGCCCTGAACCCATTTCTGGTCATATGCTCAGCTTCTGGCTTCTCTGCAGCAGAGCTGGCATCCTACATCTGTGAGATTTTCCTTAAACAAGACCAAAACAAACAGTTTGGACACCTCTTTAGGCTCACCTACCTACCTGTCTTGGACTGTGCTGTGCTGCTGTTTCTCTGGCTCTGGCTGGTGTGTTTAAAACACCCATGTGAAATGAAAGTTGAATCTACCTCTTCAGGCAGCAAAGTGGAACACACTGAACTGCTGCAGGTGAACCAGAGGATTTTTACCTGTCTTCACCTACAGATGTTATCACCACACCTACAAGCAGGCCTTGCACTGTGCTGTCACTTTGCTTACTTGTTTTAAATATATATATTTTTATATTTATATATATATATGGGAATTGAAACAAGTTTATTTCATGCAAATTTTGACATCACTAAAGGCAAGGTTATTAAGGAACTTCTGGGGTTTACAAGGCTTCTTGGTTTACTCATTTGAAGGCTATGTAATTCCACTGAAAGAGACTGGAATGGAAGACCTGTGCTCTGAGTGTTGGGAGAAAAACAAGAGTAGCAGGCAGTTACTCACCACTTGTCACAGCACGTGCATGGATGAGCTTCCTCTGCTCCATATCCAACCTCCTTGTGCAGCTTCCTGGCATGCAAGGCTCCATGGCTGCCCTCTGGATCCTTCAAAGCAGACTCAACACTGCAGGGAGAAACAGGACATGACACCTTCACAGTTCAGGTACAGAAAGCGGCAGAAGGTGAACCAGTGTCACTTTTATCACTGTGCATTAAGCAGGTGTTCTTTATCACCTCCATTACCACTACCACTCATTTCTTTTGAGGCAGAAATGTCCTCCTGTACAGTCACAAAGACACATCCCCATCTCCTCTGTAAATAGGAAAGAAGAGGAAAACTTTCATTTTTGCATAGAGGCCAACTGAGACATCAAGTAACAAAGGTTCATTCGAGGTCTACAAAAAACCTGGGACGTTGTTACAGGCCAGACCTTCCCTGGCTGATGCCCAGGATCAAGTGGGCAGTCAGTTCCTCTCAGGACCACCAGCAGCACAGCCCTGCAGGACAGTCCTTCAGTGCCTGGGCACCCACCTGCCCCTGTGCCAGACAGACCCAGGTCATTCCCAAAGGAGACACCCCCAGGGCTCATTTGCCCATTAAGATGTTGGGAAGAGAGTTTAAGCTCCTTTCCAGATCCCTGGGCAGGAGCAGCTGCTGCCTCTGTGTTTGCTGACACCTTAGAAATGCTGCCATCCATCTGCAAACACCCACTTTCTCAAGATGCCAGGAACCGAGCACCGAAAACCCCTCGCCAGCCCTTGCCCCGGCCGGCCAACCCTTGCCAAGGGGGATGGGAGGCTCCACTCTGAAGCAGAGACACCCCCAAAAAGAGTCAAACCCCGCGTGGCCGTGGATTCCCCTCGGTCCCCCGGGGCACCCAGCCCATCTGCCCCTTTGTGCGGGCGGTCCCGGGGTGGCCGTGGGTGCCGTGGGAGGCACCTGCGGCTCTCACAATGGGCTGTGGGTGCTCGGGGGAGAGACAGATTGATGTATTGTGTGTGGGGGAGGAGGGCTGTCACTGGAATCCATGTGAACCCGGGCTCTCGGGGCAGGGCAGATTGACAGCTTTTGTAGGTCGCAGCTCCCTTTCAAAGCTCTGCTTTATAGACAGTAGGTTAGGGGGCCCGGGCTTTCACTCCCATAATTCGAACAGGGCAATCAGCAGCATTGAGAATTTCTTCTCCCTCTCTCTCTCTCTCTCTCTGCCTCCCCCCTTTTTTTTTTTTTTTCTTTCCACCCCCTTGTTATGCATTAAATGATTTCAGTGGAGGAATGTGCAGCATTAATTAGAATTGGTTAGCAGATACCGAGGGGAAAAGTTTCTTCGCAACAAACTAAAGGAGGTGTCAGTGCCACAAAGACGGTTTTGTTTTCGCTCTCCCCCAGCATTATCAGTGCAATATGTAAGGTAGCGATTCTTTTCATTTAAATTAAGTGGAAAGCTACTAAATCTTGTTTTATTCTCAAAAAAAAAAAAAAAAAAAAAAAAAAAAAAGGAAAAGGTCCTTAACACTTATCTTTTAACTTCTTTTATTTTGCAAGGTTAGTGTTTACTTTTGCTTTCAGTCCTGCCCATTAACCGGCCTGCAAAGATGTGTATCCAGTTTGGTGTATCATTTAGCTCTTACAATTATCAGCCAGCACAACTCATATATAAGGATTGTCTGCTGATTAAAGCAACAACTTTACCATTTAAAATAAAAGGCGCTGTTCTAGAAGGACACATTGAAATTCAGAAGTGTGGCTGCCTGTTCTCTGCAGGGATTTCCTCGTTTCTTTCAACTTCCTAAATAGAAGTTAAGCTAAAAGATGGCCTTGAGCATATAAAGTAAGAGCTTAGAAGAAACGCTCATTAATTTATTTATATATGCTTTCTATGTCATTCCTTAAAAACTTTTCCCATTGACAATGTGCAAACAAATATTAGCCCTGATGCTGTTCAAATATTTTCTTCCATCAAATGGACTCAACTAGTTCACAAAAAAATTATTTAAAAAATAGAAGTTTTAAAAAAAAAAAAAAAAGCTGAAATTATTGCCACCATTTAACAACAGACACAATCCTAAGTGCTGCACTAAGGGTAATATCACATTCCTTGTTTTCTGTTAAGGGTTTAAAAATTACCAAATTATCACCACCATAAAGCCTCATCTCCTAAGACATGTAAAGCCAACTGCTGTCTGTAAAAGTGAATTACTGCTCTGCAGATTCCCTTGCCACAAATTGCCCCGAAATGTAAAGACATTTACACTTTGCCCACAAGTCAGCAAATGCTGCTTGGGTTCTTTTAACCAGGAAAAGTACAATTCCTGCTTGTTCCCCTTGAGGGAGTGCTGGGAAGTGCAGCCACAGGCAGAGTGGCCTGAGCAGGACAGGGCAGGTATTCCTTTTCCTACAGGGCAGGTACCAGATGACATTTCATCTGACACACACACACAATCTGACCTATGCATTATAAAGTCAAAACCACAGCTTGAAAAGTAAGCTTTGCTATTCAGTATCTAGATCTTAACAAGCTTGATTGTATCTTCATCTTACTGGTAAATCAGGAGTTGCTGGTGGGAGACATGATGTTAGGGGTTTTTTTTTAACAGTTTTTAACGTGGCATTGCCACAGCAACTTGAAGAGCTGCGTAAGGATGAGCTAAACAGAGCCTGTGCAGAGGAAGAGAGGAGCATAGGATCTACCATGCACAGGATGCAGGGTGTTTTAAGTAGAAATTCAGCAATATAAAAAGCCAGCTAAAGTGTGTCACCTTCTGGCTGGAGACTCTTCCCCACTGTGGAAGGAAGGAAGAAGCCTCCAAAACTCCTGACATTGTCTTACAAGGAAAAATCTCTAGGATATGAAGAGTTATTTTCCACAGTGCAAAGGGCACCTGCCTAGAACTGCCAGGTCAGCTCCAGCAGCTGGGGGTTTCAGCTCTGGGGGCTCTGTCGGCAATAACTGGTTAATTAATCAGGATTAATGCAGAGGAGCCCAGGCAGACAAGCTGTTTGCTGCCTCAGCCACTGAGCAGCACTGCTCCGGGGAGCTGAGGTCACTGCAAGGATGGGCTTTGAAGGAATGCCCAGCCCGGGGTCAGCTGAGGCAGCCCAAAGCCTTCCCGGACTGCTCAGCAGGAGCAGCTCCCTCCAGAGGGGCAGCACCACTGAGTGGGTCTCTCTCACCAAGTTTTCCTGTGTCTCCTTCACCCTGGCCCAAGGGCCATCTCCTCTTTTCCCCCTCTTTTTTTCCCCCCCTGACCGCAGCACCTCTCTCACTCAGAGTTATGCATCCCTCATGCATGTAAATGAGAGGGGTCCAATTACACGCGAGGGAGAAAGGGTTTAATGAATCGTGAAAAAGCAAGGGTTGCTTAGAAAAAAGCTCAGTCCCAGCGCCCCCTCATTCCCCCACTTGGAAACGTGGGCTTCTCATTTTTGAGAGGGATGAGAGAATGCAGGAGAGTGAAGGAGAGAAACCCACAGCTGAATGAATGCCACGGTTGTTTGTGTTTGCTGCAGCCTGCACCTGAAACCCGTGATGCACACTTGTGCAGGAAAATAGTTAAGCTCAGAGGTTATGTCTCTCCACACAGCATGAACAAAATCAACACATGATTGCAGATAACTCTCTGTTCAAGTTCTCCCACGTGGAGACGTTCCTCTTCTTGCCCTCCTTTCCTCTGTGTGTGTGTAAGCTCTTACAAGTGTTTAAAGCACAAAGAACAGGCAGAAGCTGGTTGTTATTTGTGAGGTCCCATAAAACACAGCCACAGGTTACACAGTCCAAGCTGTGTCACCAACCTCCACACCTGGCTGGCCCTGGAAGTGGTTGGTTATCACTGGCTGTCCCTGGTGAATGTGAATAGGATGAGCACTTCAAGGCAAACCACTCTAAAGCAATATTCTTAACACCAAGTATGATTTCATATGATTACATTTAAAACAGACATTACAGCAATTCGGTTTGTAAATAACCTTAAATATTCCTTCACATGTCTTTTCCTTCTGCTGTTTTTTCTTTCTTTTTTTTTTTTTTCCCTTCACTATGATTAATTATTAGTCACTAACTGTTGCTAAAATGACTTCAACATCTAAAATCACAGCAAGAAAATCTCCCAGTGCCCTCACTGGGAATAACACAGCACTGTGGTGCCAAGCTGTGAACAGAAACAGACATAAACACTTGAGTCTGAAGATGTTTTCCATACCAATGAGGGCATCACAAGTACTGAGCAATTACATCTCCAGCCGAAAACGCAGCAGAGTTATTGTCTGCTCAGAATCTTTAAAATCTGGCCTCAACCTTTCCTTCTTTATTTGGGCATAGAAATACCTGTGACATTGCACGTGGAAGTGGTTTGTTAGTAAGTAGGATGCAGCTAGGAAGAAGAATGGCTTCCACAACAGCAGCACTGGGACAACTCCCTGTGAGCCCAAATTTACCCAGGAGTGTCAGCAGCTTCTGGAGTTACACCAAGCCTGCCCCAATTTTTTGCTAACTTCACCTAGAACTCTGCAAGCAAAATGCATGACTTCCAGCAGTTATCAATCAATGAATATTTCTCATTAGAAGTACGTGGGAATAAAAAGAAAGACTAGTGCCTTGGTGTTGCACATCCTTAGTCCTGGATTATTGGCCAGACACACAGATGAGGGGTAGAAATCCCTGATCTGACCGAAAGCAAATGAAGATTTAGAGGAAGTCAGATGGAAAAACCAAATTGCTACTTCTGGAGATAACAAAGCATATTTTTCCAGTTCATTTCCAATTAATTTCATCCAAAGATGGTACAGAAAGTATCTTAAAGAGCACACATGTTGTAGACAAAATTTTCATATAAATCACTTGCCCTTTACCTTTGTCTGGCCCACAGAATGACTCAGCCAGATAAATTAAACCTTGCTCAGAAACTAACCTTTAGAGAAGCACAGATGGAAAAAATACCATCTGAGTTAGAAAACAGTATCATATATAAGTGTGTTAAGGGAAAGACATTCTGGAGCTGGTAATTGTGATGTATTTCATCAGTGAGGTTGGACAAACAAAACATTTGCAGCTACAAATTTCACCAACAGGCAGTTAACATGTTAATAGCATGTTTTGGTGAAGGACCAAACACCACCTGGGCTTGAAG